AAACTGCGAATGTGTGTACAAAAACATTTATTTCCAATAGGTCGTCACATTCAATAACTCTGACAGTATTTTCTTTAAGCTACTGAAGTTTTATCAAACATTAAAAAAAATATATATATTAATCTCTCGCTTCTCTCATTGAAAAAAAATTACAATAAGTTGGATGAGTAAAATGTATTAATTAAACGCGAATTCTGACTAGATTTGTCTCGATCACAAAATAGTTTTTACATGAGTTAGAGAGTGAAAGAGAAAGAGCAATATAAAGTTTTGGAAGCTCTGACACAAACTCAGTCATGGCAGAAGGCGAGTGTTCTTCAATAAAGCACACACACTATATTCAACTAGTGAAAGGCTAATTGGTTTAAGCGAAGTTTTTGCAACTTTACATGAGAGCTATTTAAAGCTTAAAATTTGGAAAAGCATATCATGATAAAAACTTCTTAAACTATTCGAATGGAGTAAACTTAATTGAAGTTCAATTAAAAACATCGAACTGTTGATGCTGACACCAAATAAAACGGACCTTTAATTGAATATGCAATTTCGAAAAGGGCACATGGCGCATATTTTGTCAAATACATCTTTTCATATACATGTAGTTTTGAGGCTTACCTAGACCCATTTTATAATAATTCTAGTAATTTTCAATTGCTAATTAACACTAAAATATATCTCAAAAGTAAATATTTTAAATTTTACACGGCTTTAGACAATAATTAGTTTTATTTCATTTCCTAAACATTTTACATTTTCAGAGAGATGTGCCCTTTCCGAAATAGCATATTCAATTACAAAGATAAATGTCGTTCAAACCAAATACCCCTCGATATATATTTATATAAATATTATGAATACTAGTTCATCATTCGCAATTTTGACTACTAATCGAAATATAAATGATTTTTTATGCAAACAGTACAAAATACAGTTCCGTACATAAACACGTTCTAACGAATTGAGAATTCAATTATGTTCTTGTTTTGTACGACTTATTCGTTTATTGTTGATTATTATGATGGTTTTTTTTTTTGTTTTAAGCATGCTTTATTTTTATTCGCCACCACTGTGTTTATAGTGAAAAGTTTTAATATAATTTAAAATATATAAATATATTATTATTTAAAAAAAAAAAACATGTAATAATAGTTCTATGGCTAATTTCGTTTCATTTTAAAAATGTCTTCAGATCTGGCCGAACGTGTAAATTTGTTTTATCATTCGTAGTTTGTAATGGCAATAGCTGATTTTATCGACAAGTCAATGTTTCGCTGCAAGGGAAAACGATCTTACAAAACGTGCTAAGCGCCGTCGTTAAGGACGAAAATCGTCTGCACTTTGACTTGTGTAATGTTCAGTTGGAGACGTTCCCACGGCGCATGCGTCGTCGCCGGGATCCGATATCGAATTTGATGAGCTTATTAAATAAAACATGTTATAATATTCGAGTTGATGGGAAAAGCCATTGTTGTGTTTTTTTTTTATCTCGCGTAACGCCGAGTGCTATATCGATAGTGTACCGTAGATTGGAGGGAATAAGGACTAGAGGTAGAATAGAGACGAATCAGGGCTGTCACAATGCTTTTGTGAGATTTAATTTTGTTCGAATAGAAAATGACTTTTATTTGGTGTTTAAGAATATTAAATAGTTTAATTCAAGTCATCAGAGTTTTGTAACTGATTAAAAGTTCATTGAAAAGTTAATTGCCTAAAGGTAACCTACCTAACAACTAAACAGTGCCAGCCTTATCGAAAAACTCTATTAACCCCATACGTGACCCGATTCACCCCAAAGCCAAGGTGAATCAGTTCAAACCAGTTTTTTAAGTTTGTGTGTATATTTTTAAATTTAATCCTCGGGAACCATTTTAATCTCAATTTTATTGGTATTACCCTAAAAAAACCCTCTGAAAAATTTGTGTTGGAATTCGAAAGCGTCTGGATTCCCCCCAATCTACTATACTTCATTATTAAAGTTCTACTTATAAATGAAACGACACGTGTTGATGTCTCGCTCGCACGCTGTACGTATGAGCGAGAGAAGTACAGTAAGTACGATGCTTAAAAAGTAATTTATTAGTACTATTTTGATAAGATGCCAATATAGATTTCGCATTGGACCAAGGAATAAATGTAAATTTGATAAGTGTAGCTCACTTCACTCGCTGACGGTACGTATTGTAGGGTTTTATAATGAAAATTTAAAAAAAAAATGGGAGAGCGGGTAGGCGGAATATTAATTTAATACAAATCGAACTGGGAAAGGTTATTTAATTAATTATTATATTACTATTAATATAGAAGTGACATTTCACTGGTGGTAGGACCTCTTGGGAGTCCGCACGAGTAGGTACCACCACCCCGCCTATTTCCGCCGTGAAGCAGTAATGCGTTTCGGTTCGAAGGGTGGGGTAGCCGTTGTAACTATACTGAGATCTTAGAACTTATATCTCGAGGTGAGTGGCGCATTTACGTTGTAGATGTCTATGGGCTCCAGCAACCACTTAACACCAGGTGGGCTGTGAGCTCGTCCATCCATCTAAGCAATAAAAAAAAAATCGGTTAATAAGCGACATTTGTCTTTGTAATGAAAGGTCCATTTTATTTGGTATTGGTATTGGTATTTATTTATTGGTATGGTTATTAGTACCTATCAACAATTCGATGTTTTAATTGAACTTCAATTATGTTTACCACATTCAAATTGCTAAAGAAGTTTTTTTGTTATGATATGTTTTTTTTCCAAATTTTAAATTTTAAATGGGTCTCCTGTATTGTTACAAAAATGTCGCTTGTATGTAGTCTTTGACCCGTCGAAATAATTACGAAAATGTGGAAAGATTGTCTTTAATAAAATAACAATTTTGATATAAAAAATCCAAGACTCTCTTTCCCTGTACGGTTAGTGAAAATGCATATCGAAAATTTGCCCGCTTTTAATGTCGTTAGGCCCTGCTAGTTCCTATACACGTTGCTTTAATTATGAAATGGCAAATTAAATTTCCTTACGTCCGTATTTTAGTGAATTACATAAATTTTAAATTGACCAAACAGCTCTCCCGGTCTCCCTTCAAAAATGTTTCTAACTGAGATAATGCAGTGCATATATAATTATATACAAATATTGTTTGTTATTGTGTTGATGTAATGTGTCACTCGCGACGCGTCGGCCTGGCAACTGTATTTTCAGACTGATTAATATGAATATTCTCGCTTTCTCGTCTTTGCTGTTGATCGTCTAGGTGATGTCCCTGAACATTAGTCTAGTTCGGGGTGTAATATTCGGTATTTACAAAAGAAAATAACATTTATATTATTTAAAAATTAACCTTTTTATTGACTGTAATTCTACATCTTGTAAATGCATATCTTTGTCTCTTTTTAGTGTCGTTTTTTTCGTTTCATCTAGTTTCAAAATTCAAATTCGTGTAAAAAAACCACAATGAGATAAAAAAAAAATATACAAATCTTAGGAATAGAAATAGGCTGTTTATTAGTTTTTTAGGTTGGCCGTAACTGGCTAGTAATTTTATATGGGAAAATACTGAACTATACGATCAACAACAGAGTTAGAAGAGTCGTTTAGATGCTGTTGAGAGGTAAACAAAGTGACGGTGAGTTCGTGCAAAATCAATCGGGAATCCTATTCTGACACATCTTCATATCTTCTTCACAGTCATATTCTGACTTCCGACGTGATATGATGAAATACGATCCACTCTTTAGTCGTATTAAAAATTAAAATAGCCTTTTATTGCGCGCGTGTCGGATAAGTTTTCGTCAGGATTTTGTATGGAAATGATTGCGTTCATATCCTGATTTGAATATATCAGGAGCAAGCAATGTTTAACGTTCTCAAACATAAATGTTTGCGGAGTCGAACAACGTGCTTATTGCGAGTTTTTAACGTTCTCGATAGCGTAAAAGTTAAATTTGTATGGTATTGGAACAGCGCCCCTAGCGGCAAACGTAGACAAAACGTTCCGACCCCATCCAAAGTTAAGTTAACTTTTACGCTATCGAGAACGTTAAAAAACGCTCACTAAGAACACTGTTTACAATTTTACGTAACAAAATTTTAATGTGATATTACAATCGTTTGTCGTTTTTGCACGTGTCCACCGTCACGCGAGAATTAGTGAAAAAATTTATTATCGAATAAGCCATTGCTGTTTCTAGTTTAATAAAACCGTCGTCTTGATACAGGAATAAGGTCGTTGTTTGTGAGCGGCAACGGATGCTGGCCTACGACGTTACAGGGCAATGTTTTGAACATTTGACGGTAGTTAGATAAATTTTGTACAATACGATCGCACGTTCGCCTTATTCTTGTACGAGAATGTTAGTGTGTCGCCAACTGTCTTGTGAGTAAGTGGAAAGCGTTTTTAATGTTGTAACCGGTGTTAGTAATGTTATCGAGTAGTTGATGCTAGTTTCGGTTAATTGTTTCGGTACTAATGGTTTCTTTTGTTAACGTTTTTGGCACTGTATTAATTACCTTCTGACAAAAAATATATAATGAATTAAAAATAAAATGATTCGTTTCATTTTTGTTCCTCCCTAAATAAATGTACGTATTGCCTTGTGCTCTGGAGCAGGGAATCCTTTACTTTTTATTATTATAATTTTTTTATTGCTTAGATGGGTGAACGAGCTCACAGCCCACCTGGTGTTAAGTGGTTACTGGAGCCCATAGACATCTACAACGTAAATGCGCCACCCACCTTGAGATATAAGTTCTAAGGTCTCAGTATAGTTACAACGGCTGCCCCACCCTTCAAACCGAAACGCATTACTGCTTCACGGCAGAAATAGGCAGGGCGGTGGTATCTACCCGTGCGGACTCACAAAAGGTCCTACCACCAGTCTCAAACAATTCCTCATAACGCTTCGCATGTAACGCACAGTACAGAACGAAAAGCGAAGTTCAATTGATAACCCCCTCTTTTGTTTCAAATCGGTTAAAATAAAACAAGTGGAACAATTAGAATAATTTATTAACGACTACATTGTACATCAATCAAGTTTCAATTCAACTTTCCCTAATTTCCCTTTCGGCACGTCCACCGAGGAGAGGGTCTCCGTGACGATGCCGGTCGCGACCGTCACGTTGTTCTCCCTGATGGTGAAGGGTTGTCCCTGCGTCATCACCATGTCCTCCAGCAGCGTGAGGTACACTTCGCCGTGGTCTCCCGGCATCATCATGTGCATTGATGGTTCTACAACATTATTACCTAGTATTAGTAACTGTTATTAGATAGAGGAACGAAGACAGCCAAACGTTGGGAAGATAAAATATAGAGTATAGCCGGCCCACATTGGAGTCGAATGGCCGAAGCTATTCACATATATACATTACACAAAATATTGTTCGTATTTTGTATTAGTTTTATGTGTAGATGCCTAACAGATAACCAGAGTCCATATATCTTGTAGTGTGGAGGTATAGTCGTATGGTACGATAATCAAAGAAACTAGTAACGCCGAGAACGCTCGAGAAGTACAACGCCATCTATTGTCAGATAGCGGAAACAAACATCAAACCTACTCGACTGCCCGGAATGTTCTCGATAAATCTAGAAATGTCGTATCGACTATAAAAGCGTTGCAGAGATGACACTAAGTCAGTTAGTAATCGGAACTACTCGAAGCGAAACAGCGAACGGATCATCTGAAGCGAAGCGGAAGAAGTGAATTGAGTATTTTAAATTGTTCGTTAGATGTTTTAAGTGTCCTAAGTGTATAACAGCTGCCCCACCCTTTAAACCAGAAAGTCTGATAACTTCGCGGCAGGAATAGATAGCATGTTGGTATAAGACGCCCTACCACCAGTAAGCGTAGTCCTTAGAGAACGCTGTTGCTCATTGTCCTTTGGCAGATTTTTGAAGTTATACTTCTTAAGGCGCGTTATGAAAATTTGATGAGAGTGAAATTTCACGATGCGCGCGCACCGTGACATAAAATTAACAGAATGAAGTTGCCCACTAAATCGCTCATTACAATACGAACAACGTAACTTGGCGAGTCTGAATATAGCCGCAGGTGAACTTTCCGAACCGTACCGAGAATTACCGAATTTATACGATGTCAAGAAAAGGGATGTCCAATATGCGTGTTTGAGAATGTTGTTTAATCGATTTTTTTTCAAATTGATTAATATTTAAATAATAAAAAAAAAGAAATAAATTTAATAAAAATAAAGTATAACTTCTTACGCGCGTACATAAGTACACGCACCCTTTTTAACTCATACGAGAAGAGACGCGTTGATGCAGCTCTACCGCCTAGAGCAATGGAACCGCTACTGGGCTTTTGGCGGGAACGCGAGGAGTGAAGTTGTGTGATTTGTTTTATTTTGTCTATTTAATGTTCCTTCAGGTTTAAATGAGTAATAACGGTGGTTTATTAACTGTTTAATATCTGTGAAAGTTCACAAATGTGGAAATATGAAACAAAGCTGCCGGACGTAACTTCTCGGGATCCTCCAAAAAGTCCACTGAAAAAATCTCAGTAAATGACCACCATTTTATTGAGATTATATTTCATCCCATATCAATCTCATTCAATTTCATCCAAGTTGATTAATGTCTCAAATTAATCATCTTCATTTAATTTCATCTTATTTCATTTCACCCCATATTATCATTTCTCATAAAAATATGTATATAAATTAAAAAAAGGCATGACTTAAAGATCTTAGTAACCATGTCATAAAATCCCTTTTAAAAAAAAGGAACCGCTACTTTAATACAATTAAAGCTAAAGGGTCCGTGGACCTCAGTAGCTGATACCGGGTGACACATCTGTGAATTAAGAGGTGACAATGGAAACGTACCCAAATCGATCCTGCAGGCGATGTTCCAAGTGCCACTGAACATTTGCTGCGAATACTTAGAGAAGACCGGCTTCTTCCTGCCTCCCTCGCTTCGAGTCAAGAAGTAGATGTTCGCCTTGTAGTGATTCGTCATCTTCATACTTCTGGCGGCGCAGAGCAGCATGCCAGTCTCCACGGAGCGTATCTTCATGCCTCTTAGCAGCACCCCCACATTATCACCAGCTATCGCCTGGCAAAACGAATCATTACGAACGTGGCTTTTTGGTATTTAAACTGTAGCCGACGCACCCATTACTGGTGGTAGGAACACTTGTGAGTCCGCGCGGGTAGGTACCCCGCCCCGCCTATTTCTGCCGTGAAGCAGTAATGCGTTTCGGTTTGAAGGGTGGGGCAGCCGTTGTAACTATACTGAGACCTTAGAACTTATATCTCAAGGTGGGTGGCGCATTTACATTGTAAATGTCTATGGGCTCCAGTAACCACTTAAGACCAGGTGGGCTGTGAGCTCGTCCAACCATTTAAGCAATAAAAAAAACAAAAAAAACCGGGGACCGACAGCGCCATCTCTCGTCGAGTACTGGAACTATCTGAGAGCGGACAATCTAGTCAAGGACAACTTTAGATATAAAAAAGTCGTTGTGGCCTAAAGGATAAGACGCATGGTCTACCTATTCGTATCGAGCGATTGTATCGAGGTTCGAATCCCGCGGACTGATACACATTTTTTTCTAATGAAACACCTACTTAACCCATGATTACTAACAACTCACACGACAAAAATAATATAACATTTTTTTTATTGCTTAGATGAGTGGACGAACTCACAGCCCACCTGGTGTTAAGTGGTTACCGGAGCCCATAGACATCCACAACGTAAATGCGCCACCCACCTTGAGATATAAGTTCTAAGGTCTCAAGTATAGTTAACCATAACCCAAAACAAAGTTAATACGTTTCCTCAATCACAGCAGACATACTGTGAGACATCCCTGTCTTTAGCTGCTTCGAAAATCACGCTTACGGCTACAAAGTACACATGAGACTTTCATCATCATCATCATCATTATCCTGCCCTTCTTTCTCCCAGTTACCTGGGGTCGGCGCAACATCTTTGCTCCTTCCATACTCATCTATCATATACCATTTCTTCGCTCACTCCCCTCTTACCCATATCGTCTTTCACGCAATCCATCCAATTCTTCCTAGGTCTACCTCTTCCTCTATTTCCTTCCACATTCATAGTTAACACTCTGTTACCAACCTCATTTTCATTCCGTCTCATCACATGTCCATATTGTCCCAAACGCGCACTTCTCAGCTTCTCTGTCACAGGTGCCACTTTCAGACTTCCTCTAACATATTCATTCCGTATTCTATCCATTCTCGTTACTCCACAGATCCATCGCAACATTCGCATCTCTGCTGCATGCAATCCCCTTTCATCCTCTCCGACTTTAACCTCAACAAATTAAAAAAACAAGCAATTTAACTGACATACCTCCGGGACGCTCTTCCTAAATATCTGTATGTCTGATAGTGTGGTCTTGACATTATATCCGAATCCCATGAGGTCAGCGTCGTCGTTTCGCTTCATCACCCCCCTCTTTATGGTGCCCACCACCACGGTTCCCCTCCCGGGCACCGTGAACGCATTGTCTATGGGCATCAGGAATGGTGACGTCACGTCCCTCACTATCCGGGGGATGTACTCGTCCATAGCGTCAAGAAGTCTTTGCACTGAAGGCACACCTGAGACCACAATTCAAGAGTATTTTATCTTCACGTAGAAAAAGTATACACACGACATACGTTGAATGTATTAATATTTTTGAGATTACAAAAAACTGTGGAGCAGAAAATTTGATAAATGGAATAAAAATATTTTTTTATATGATACGCTATTTTTCAGTTTGTGCAATACTTAATGAACGTCGAGATGGGAGACATAACGGTCAGATATGCGTTCATTATTATTCTTTTCTTAGATGAGTGGATGATAATGGCTAATGGACCCAAACGCATTACTGCTTCACAGCAGAAATAGGCGGGGCGGTGGTACCTACCCGTGCGGACTTACAAGAGGTCCTACCACCAGTAAAATTAAATTATTATGATAGCCATAGATATTATCTTCTTTATTTTATGTATTCCGATTTTCTCCTCCTGGGTGTATCGATGATGTCTATGGAGATTTGTCAGGTCGTTCGATTAAACCAGCGGTCGGGGAACTTTTTTAATTATTACCCCAAAATATTTTTGTGTAAGTTGATATTACCCCATGACGAAGAACAAAATAAAACGAAATCGCTTCTTTTTAGCATCTTTCATATTATAGCCGCCATGATAATTTTGAAAAGAAAACAATAACTAAAAATTTTACGATTCTAAAGAAGTTTCACTTCAATAATATATATTTTTTACTCACAAAAGTTTCATTTTTACCCACCAAAATTTCATTTTACCCAATTTGGGGTAATTTACCCCGGTTCCCCGACCGCTGGATTAAGCAAAAAGAAATGGGTTTGACCCAACTATAGATGGGTTCGATAATATTGCAGATGAATATTGAAATAATTCACTGGAGCCATTTCATTACCTGTACGTACCGTGTTCGGAGGGGTCCCCTTGGAGCGCCCGCAGCGCCGACCCACAGACCAGCGGGGCGCCGTTGCCGTCGTAGCCGAAGTCCGAGAGCAATTCGCGCATTTCTATTTCGACCAGTTCAATAATCTGCGAATTGGTTTTTTTAATCATGAAAAAATGTCTGAAAAAATTCTGTTCGACCATCAATAGTTATTTTTAGTCATGCTTAGCGTTCAAGACTTTACGTTATTCTATACCCGATGATATTTTCTTCATGTCCTCCCCATATCCGCTAAAACTTTATTGCAGGTAGTTGAGGAATAGAGACCTTTCTTACTTCCTAATCAGCTGAGGTTGCTATGTAATGCAATAAAATACTACATTACACATAATAACACAAATACTAAATGAACATTTAGCTTAATAGCCTGGAGTCCAAGCCATTAAGTACATTAAAAAAAAAAAAACTAGGGCAGTGGTTCTCAACTATACCTCTAAAATTATTTGCTTAAACTATTTTAAGCAGTATTATAGGTAAACAAAATCTTTCTTTTGTCTGCGTCAAATTTTAAAGTTATTAAAAGTGAGTTACGCACGTGAAAAAATATTGAAAGTCACTGATCTAGATTTTCTATTACCGTACATAATATATTTGACAAATCAAAAATTCTATCGTAACTCTTTTATAAATAAAATATTGAAATTCACCTCATCATTAACAATATCTGCTTTGTTGATAAACACTAGAACGTAGCGTATGCCAACTTGTTTTGCTAGCAGCAGATGCTCTCGAGTTTGCGGCATGGGTCCATCATCTGCGGCTACCACTGAAACGGAAACATAAAATTTTTATTGGAAGATATTTAGAAATTGTGAACATTTATTTAGTAGTTGTAAGGCGTTTTGTGAGATTGGGTGGGTACCATTACCCTGCTTGCTTCGGCCGTGAAGCAGTAACACATTTCGGTTTGAAGGGTGGAGCAGTTGTTATACTGTAAAACTCAAGGTGGTTTGGGGAAATTTACATAAATATCATAATATTCTTGTGGTATGTCAGCAATCTCCAAACGCTCTAAGGAAGCTACACATGATGCTAAGGCTGGCTGGTACGTTGCACAGAAAGTGAGTCTGGCTGTCCAACGAGGTAACACAGCCAGTATCTTGGGAACTACACCTCCTTCAAGCGCATTGGAAGATTTGTTCTACTGTATGAATTAATTTATGTTAAATTATTTTGATTTGTTTAATTGTATAAGTTCCCTAATATTATTCGGTGAAATTTCATTATAAACAAAGTCTTCTTGTGGTTTTGATTTTTATAACACTATGCTATCCCTTCACTGCGGTACTCATTCGTAAACATTAGTTCATATGTTAAATACATCAATTAATATCTGCCTGTGTCAATTGAACACCAGCATGGTGAGATTACTGAATATGAGTATGCTGGATATCTTATTCTTGAGCCTTGCATTTATTACAATTTAAAATGAAATGTTGTGAATTTCAACAACAGTTCTTTGTGCATGCATGTTTCAATATCATTTAATTATAAATAAATTAATGAATGAAAATTTTGAATATTTGCAATTAATCTAATTAATTCAATAATTCCCCATGATCATATCATCATCAGCCCAGTTCTCCATCCATAGCAACCTTTTGCAGGTGGTCATTGGGAAAGCTACTCATGCTGCAATTTTCGGTCACCACTCAATAATTCTTACAATTATAATAGCAATAACTTTTAATACACCTACCTAATATAGCGGCATCCATCTGTGAAGCTCCGGATATCATGTTACGTACATAGTCTGCATGACCAGGACAATCCGTATGTGCATAATGACGTAGCTTAGTACTATAACCGACGTGAGCAGCATTAATTGTAATACCTATAATTTAATAACATCAGTTTCAAGTCTTGATCCAAATAGTCCATAAGCATGATCATCGAAATGTTAATGTGACCAATAAAGATACAGATGCAATTTGTTTTATTTATTGAATTACACAGGATAAGTAGTTAATAGCACTATAGACATCACAAAAGAAGAACCACACACCAACCATTTCAGTAAAATACATACTTTTATAAACAATGCACAAAGCCAACTATTATTATGCTTATGGCATTATTATAATTTTCTTAGTGGTCTATGCACTTAGGGGATCTTGATTCATGGAATGTTCAAGAAAGGATCTAGGATGTACATTTATAACAAGGAAGCATTTAATGGTTAGCATGATTATTCCAAGAGGTGTGTCCATGATAACACATAAGTACACTTTTGATCATTGTGGTGCATTACTCAATTGCTCAAAAGATAGGCTGTAACTACATTGTAACACTACATAAACGATCACTGTCTTGATCAAACTAATCGCTCATGATCAATAGTTCGACGAGCAAACTAACCCATCGACACAGCCCACTGAACTTCTCGCTGGATCTTTCCAGTGGGTCGCAGTCCCAATACAATGATAGATTATGCGAACTACTGCTCTTGTTAAGGCTGGTGTTAGCAAATTCTTTCAGGTTGAGCTCTTGAGCTCACCTAACTGTGAATGCGATACTGGAATAGTCCCTTACATTACCAGCGAATAGGTAGAAAAAAGTACCATATAATTGGTAAAATTTAATAATCATCATAAATCACGTACCGCGAGCTTTCTCCTCCGGTGCTTTATCAATCTCGTCATATGACACATAGTTTGCTAGACCGTCTTTCGCCAGTACTTTCGTGATAGCGGCTGTAAGAGTCGTCTTCCCGTGGTCTACGTGTCCTATTGTCCCAACGTTGCAGTGTTTTTTTTCTGTTACATCACTTTTAGGCTTGGTACTGAAGTTTCTTAATTCCAATTGTACTAAGCCATTAAAACGGGTTTTTATGTAAGAACTACAACTAAATGATGTGTTTTTCTTACACTGATAATATATTGATCGTAAAATTAATCTGCAGGACATTTTATTGTACTTATAAATATTTCGTCATAAACTTTACTTTGTTTGTTGTTATTTTTCAGAAAATGTTGACAAAACTTTTAGGTTATTTTCTTATTTTTCCACTTCATTTCGTTCGGTAATTCATTGACAGTTGACATTTCACATTCGTTCTTCGTCTAGAAACAGTCTACATTCAGATAATGTTTAGCTAAGTTATTTTGTACAATGCTTAAAATACGAGCTCGCCTTACACTTTAACACCTGTACAAAAAGCATTGAACCATACATCGAACCAGATGACAGCAAGTCGTCGTGGCCTACAGGATAAGACATCCGGTGCATTCGTGTTTAGCGATGCACCGGTGTTCGAATCCCAGGCGGGTACAAATTGTTCTAATGAACAAATGTACGTATAAAATACGTAATTAATAAATGCTCACCATTGACTTCCACGGTGAAGGAATAACATCGTGTGATAAAAATCAAACCCGCAAAGTGATAATTTACGTAATTACTGGTGGTAGGACCTCTTGTGAGTCCGTACGGGTAGGTACCACCAGTCATAACCCTGCCTATTTCTGCCGTGAAGCAGTAATGCGCTTCGGTTTGAAGGGTGGGGCATCCGTTTTAACTATAGTGAGACCTTAGAACTCATATCTCAAGGTGGGTGGCGGCATTTACGTTGTGGATGTCTATGGGCTCCGGCAACCACTTAACACTCGGTGGCCAGTGAGCTCTTCCAGCCATCAATGCAAAAAAAAAATATGTTTTTAAATCGTCTCGAATTTTTTTACCGCACTCAAATATTTAAACCAGCCATCGATGTAGAATCGATGACTTCCCGACCAAGTTTCCTTGAGGTTAACCATGCGTCTAGTTGCAGGATCTACTGCAGTTACTCCTACTGGATTCTGCAATCGGGCAGATCGGGCAAAGTGCAGAAAGAGTGGTCATAGCAGTCCCACAGATATAGAGCGCCCCGAAGAAATACGGCCAATAAAGATATTTCATCCACAATTTTAGCTAATTACCAATGTATTATATTTCTTAATAGTTGAACTGATGACCAATAGTAAAAAGAAAATGACACCTTTTGAACAAGATTTGACCCTTGGCTATGCCAATCTCTATCTTTGTTAGAGCAATTAATTTGAAGTCGTCCTGGCCTAAAGGATAAGACGTCCGGTGCATTCGTATGAAGCGATGCACCGGTGTCCGAATCCCGCAGGTGGGTACCAATTTTTCTAATGAAATACGTACTCAAAAAATGTTCACGATTGACTTCCACGGTGAAGGAATAACATTGTGAAATAAAAATCAAACTCGCAAAATTCTAATTTGCGTAATCACTGGTGGTAGGACCTCTTGGGAGTCCGCACGGGTAGGTACCACCGCCCCGCCTATTTCCGCCGTGAAGCAGTAATACGTTTCGGTTCGAAGCGTGGGGTAGCGGTTGTAACTATACTGAGACCTTAGAACTTATATCTCGAGGTGGGTGGCGCATTTACGTTGTAGATGTCTATGGGCTCCAGTAACCACTTAACATCAGGTGGGCTGTGAGCTAGTCCATCAATCTAAGCAAAAAAAAAAATTAGTTTGCAAGAAATTCCACTTTTTGTTGACTATTGATTTTTTTGTAAATCTATACAATTAGTCTAGGATCTAGAACACATGTGAACTTTATTGACCTCTAGATCTTACAGTTATCTAACTAATTAATTACAATTTATTTATTATAAACGCATTTATTAATTAATCCATATGCAAAAGCCAAACTAAATATACTTGATGTGCCTATTTAGACATTAAAATGTCACTTAAGTTTGTTCCACGAGGGCAGCGAATACAAAAATTAAAAAAAAAAAAACAATGCATCATTTATTTCTAGTAAAAACAAAACAGTTTACAGCGAATTGTATTTGGAACTAAACTAATCATCAAATGATTCACACCAATGACAACATAGTATTATTGATCGGTCATTAAATATTTTACGGAAATTACTACAAAAACAACGTCATGAAATGATCTAAGATCTTTTGTGGGGCATGATTTACAAACTTTTTATATTATTGAGGAAAAATCTGCGATTTGAAAATTTTGCCTTGTCTCCAAATGGGCTGTTATAACGTGTTATTTTCTCTGTTAGTTACTTACGCATATATACGTAGGATCCAAGTTACTTTGAATGTCATACGTAATCGTTTCCAACACTGGTAAACATTTGTCGAGCTATACGAAAATGTACCTAAACATAATGAGTTAAGGTTGTTTTACTATGATATCTCGATCTTCGGGTTTTCCGTGAATTTTATACGTATACATTTACTGGTATCAGCTGGCTGTTGACTTTCCTTGTAGGAATATTCAAGTAAATGAAAATGCACCTTAATGCTGAGCTTCAATTTTATCGATATCGATTTAGAGCTGTAATTTTATCGATATCGAATTTTAATGTATTGTTCACCTCGTTGGGTTAGAAGTGATACCTAAAATGGTCTAGAAACATGTTACAAGAAAAAATGGCTTTTTTGGAAATTAAATCTTCAGACGAGTTAAGCTCTACTGTCAAACCTCGGTCCACGACGCCATCCGCGCAATGCAGGATAGGCAGGGTTGGAATATGACAGTCCAGGAGAAGGGGAAGTCATGATCCACAGCATTGAGGATTATTGACACAAAGTAGAGAATCTTTAGTCAACGCTCTGTAGCGTTGTTCTTGGATTGACATGTAGGTACTTTCCACAATACGATAACGAGATTTTTGTTTAATATTATTTAGAAATTTACATTAAGCAGTATGAATATGCAGCATGCAGTATGAACATGCAGCATGCAGTATGACACATTATTTTATGGGAATAGCCGTAATTTTGCCGCTTACTTTTTATGTTTAAAATAGATAAAAAATACATGCCTACAGGCATAGTTGAGATGTTTCATTCCGAAAAATGACTCCTTTTTGTACTGGCTTCTAGTCTCATATAACATGGTTTTGCATAACACGGGATTTTGTAAGAACGTACCTACCGTGTTGTAATAGTTTAACTGTATTTCAGTTCCTGGTTTCCATAGTACAGGAAATCGTAGTTTCAGGCCAGTTTTTTTTTATTGCCCTTGTAGACAGACGAGCATACGGCCCACCTGATGTTGTATATTACCGTCGCCCATGGACTTCAGCAATGCCAAGGGCAGAGCCAAGCCGCTGCCTACCTAAATATGTAGGTATTATTACTCTCCACAAGCCTCGTTTGAAGGGCATGTCATAGCGCTCGGGAAACACCGTGGAGGGGAGGTCATTCCAAAGCCGGATGGTACTTGAAAAAAAAAAGTTCTCTGGAAACGCACTGTGGAAGAACGCAAAATTTTGTTTTTCAAAATTTTAAACTTAAAATGGCTCTCTTGTAAAGTTGCAAAAATTTCACTATAACCAAATACCCATTCACCCCTCTGTAATAATATCTCTGTAATGTAAATCTCATATGACGAGATTACTTACGGATCATAATATCGTCAGCATAATTTTGGTTTCGCGTGAACAGAATAATCCGTACTTAAGTTTTTTTTATTGCTTAGATGGGTGGACGAGCTCACAGCCCACCTGGTGTTAAGTGGTTACTGGAGCCCATAGACATTTACGACCTAAATGCGCCAGCCACCTTGAGATATAAGTTCTAAGGTCTCAAGTATAGTTACAACGGCTGTCCCACCCTTCATACCGAAACGCATTACTACTTCACGGCAGAAATAGGCAGGATGGTGGTATCTACCCGCGCGGACTCACAAGAGGTCCTACCACCAGTAATTACGCAAAATATAATTTTGCGGGCTTGATTTTTATTACACGATGTTATTTCTTCACCGTAGAAGTCAATCTTGACATTTGTTGAGTACATATTTAATTGGTACCCGCCTGGGCTTCGAACACCGCTGCATCGCTCAACACGATGGCACCGGACGTCTTATTCCTTAGGCCACAACGACTAGATGTACCTAATATTTATATAAATATAAAGTAAATTTTTACTTATTCTATGCTTATAGGCAACACTTATAAACCCCCTTTTATTAGTTATGCATGATTGTATGTAACGGAATCTTTGAACATCTTTTCGGTGACCTCAAGGCTTTAAGAATAACTTGAAAACTTGCACACGTATTCAGGTTAACGGAAAAATATGAAATTGTTAATTCGGTTTGCTATTAATGCTTCTTATTTTAGTTTATAACTTTTGTACGCGTTGTTACTGGATCTGGACTCAAAATATTAAACTATTGCATAGCTTTTATCGCGGGCTTTGAGCGCGGCGACCGAATCAAGAAATTCCGTAACGAAAGTAAAATCTAACACCCTCCACTCCGCCTACCATGTAGCTCGCGTTCAACACGTTGCGCTTGTGTAGGGTTTGTGAATAAGCACGCGGCGTGACGTCGCACTACATGCGCATCATGAAAAGTCTACCCATCTCTCTCTCGCGTGGTCTAGCTTATGAGTGTGAAGGGGACAGTTAGTGTTTTGCTTTTGTTAATGTTTATAAATATAGCGTGGTCTTATTTTATTATTAAATTATTATTGTCTAATTATAATTGCATAAGTTGATAAAAAATGCTATGCAATAGCTTTACCGCGGCAGTACCCGAGTGCCACAAGTCTTTTATTATAGTTAGGATTTTCCCCTCAGAATTCCCAAAATCTTTCAATCGCTCAAAAAGAGGTGAATTTAACAGGTCATACGACGCGAGTGCGATCACTCTATTATGATCAACAATTGGTAAGAGAAATATTGAATGACATCATCATCATCTACAAACATTCAATAAGGTTTACGGATATTGATTTTAGAAACAAGTTTTACGCTAAACTTTTGTTGTAGTCGACGAGGCCACCATTTACCACATTTTTAACGGGCTTCAAAAAAGGAGGAGGTTCTCAATTCGACTGTATGTTTTTTTTGTTCGTTGTCTCATAACTTTTAACTGGGTGAATCGATTTTGATGATTCTTTTTTTATTAGAAAGCTG